AATGCTGAACTTAAAGATGTGGATTTGTCCTCGAATCTTTTGACCGGAAGCTTACCTAAATGTCTTGAGTCGGATTCTAAGGACAGGGATGTCCTGTATGCAAGTAATTGTTTAGCTACTAGTAATCAAAATCAACATCCGGTTCCATTTTGCCGCAATGAGGCGTTAGCTGTTGGAATCGTACCTGACCAAAGCAACCGAAAGAAAGCCTCCAAAGCAGCCCTTGCCGTAGGTATAATTGGAGGGATTTTCGGAGGTGTTCTACTTGTCGGTCTAATTTTCCTTGTATATAGAAGAATTAATACCAACAAGACATTGAAGAAATCTCCACCAAGATCAATAACAGAGAATGGATCAAGTGGATATACCTCAAAGTTACTATCAGATGCAAGTAAGTTCTCATATCTCTCTCGGTCTCTCGCTCTCACACATGCTCACACACACACACATACATGCAAAAATAAACGATGAGAAAGGAAAAACATAAATACTGGATGCTGATTGGCCAATTTGTCCAGTGTACTCAAAATGTCTGATAATATGATCTTCTGCTTATACCAAAAGGATATATATCTCAAACAATGAAGATGGGAGCGCTTGGCCTTCCAAGTTATCGAACCTTTTCACTCGAGGAACTTGTGGACGCTACACATAACTTTGATACGTCTACTTTCATGGGTGAAGGCTCACATGGACAGGTACATAACATAAACCTCTTACTTTCATGTGGTATTTATTGATGAGCTTTTGTGGATGCTTTTGAATGCAGTTTTGTGTGATTAACTATGCATTGCATCATAGAATTTCTTGCGAGCTTAAATAAATGGTCGTTACCTGGTGTTTTCGTCCCTTTTGTGATCTCAGATGTACAGAGGCCAGTTGAAGGATGGTTCTTTTGTTGCCATCAGATGCTTGAAAATGAAAGGAAGTCACAGCACTCAAAGTTTCATGCACCACATAGAGCTAATTATGAAACTACGGCATCGCCATTTGGTCAGCGCACTTGGACACTGCTTTGAGTGTTACTTGGATGATTCGAGCGTCAGCAGAATATTTCTTGTTTTCGAATATGTACCATATGGCACACTCCGGAGCTGGATATCTGGTAATTCATCGTGAAATAGTTTATTGAATTTCCCACCATGACCATGCTTTTTTTCTTTTGATTTCACACATTTATCTGGAATTTTTCGTTCTGTTTTTTCTTTTCCGGAAGAGGGACATCCCAGACGATTGCTCGCGTGGACACAACGCATAGCAGCTGCAATTGGCATAGCGAAGGGCATTCAGTTTTTGCACACAGGGATCATGCCTGGTGTATATTCAAGTAATCTTAAAATAACAGACATTTTACTGGATCATAATTTTGGTGCGAAAATTAGCAGTTACAACCTTCCTCTGTTAGAAGAAAATATGGAACAGGTAAAGATTATGTTGTAATTAACTTACTGGGGTTGTCAATTCAATTCTCGAAGCAAATCATTATGCACCGGTTTTTAGCTACGCTTCTCCTTGCAGGGTGGTCATGGAGTCTCTTCGAGTGGATCCATAACTTCTAGTACCAGTGCAAGGTCCGCAGTGAAAATTTCAATCACTTTAAGTTGCATGTATACTAAAACACTTAAGTGCACCATTCATAGCAACTTCTTAATTCTATTACTTATGATGTTAATCTTAGCACACCTTTGTTCTTGTCGACACCTTTTCACTGCTCGCTACCTTCACAGTATTGCTTGTAACCATTGTGCTATGTTGGTTGACAGGAAGAAACATGACGGTAGGACTGATGTTCGTGACTTTGGAGTAATATTGCTGGAACTGATCAAGGGGAGACCGGTTAAGTCTGAGGCTCAAATCGAGGATTTAGAAGATCAGGTAAAAGAAACTTGCTTTTCTTATATTTTCTTCGAAAGCTTCATTTTAATTTTTGAGGAAACAAGATCTGTCAATATCTCCCAAGCCACCTGCACGGCTCTTGGAGACCTTCTGATTTTCGACCTTTCATGGAAGAAGTGTTGGCTAACTTCACAACAAGAGAAAACACAAACAATTGTTTTATTGGCCTTCGTTCGAGGATCAAGAGTGGAAAATTTACTAAAACCAAGATGATAGATTACAAACAAAATTTCTTACACGTTACACTCAAACTTACAGTTATTTCTGAAAATAATTCTTCTTTTTCTCTTTGCCAGGGTAATATACTAATATGGAAAATAAGTGGTTAATTTATATACATTCGTTGATGATGCAGCTACAAGTGGCCCTTACAGCTGATGATGCAGCTCGAAGAAGCGTAGTTGATTCACGGATTAAGCAGACGTGCTTGGATCTGTCGGTGAAGACAATGATGGAAGTTTGTGTTCGGTGTCTGCGCGAGGATCCAGCAGATAGGCCTTCTATTGAGGATGTTCTGTGGAACTTGCAGTATGCTGAACAAGTTCAGGATGCATGGCAAGGAGGAGAATCCCAGAGCAGTGAGGGCTCTCCGGTTTCATCTCCAAAACCTCCACGCCTTGCCTTTAAGTTGTGAGTTACCGTAGTTTTTTTAATGCTTGAGAATTCATACCACGGCTAGCTACACAGAGATGATGACTTCCGCCATGAAAGATGTTACATTGCTCATATCCAGCATCGTAGGTTACTGAAAACCTTAAAAAAGGGATCAATTGATGGCGAAACTGCCTTGCCGACCAGTGATCTATGTTCTGCAGCAGTTCAGAAATTTCTTGGTTTTCAAGTCACTACTGTAAATTAAGGAGTGTAAATAATCACTTTTGACTGTCTATATGTACATACATCTTATTATATTTGTACCCGACGTTTTGACATACAACCAATCTTTCACCCAGCCAGCTTCGATTCTTTTCCAATCGTAGCTGACCGAGGGATCCGACAAGATTCATGCAACATTTTCTTTGAAGCTTCAACCGTAAAACAGATAGTTTTCTTTTTGACAAAGGAAAATTTTTAATGAGTTGAGATTCGAACTAAATCTCAAGTGCAAGAGTGAATGTTTTTAACCAACTGAGTTACAAGCTACTTGCTCTATAAAAAAGTTAAAACTATTATTATTTCGGTAGTGCTATACATACGTCAAATTCGTGCACTAAATTTATGCACCAGATAATATCACATATTCTATACCCTATAAATTTTTATTATAACTATTAATCCAATTCCAACTTAAATAAAGTACAAATTTAATTAGTACCACATTATTTGGTGTACCTAATATTATTCTTATTATTTAATTATACCATATTGTAACATCCCACATCGCCCAGGGAAGTGATCTTTATAGGTATATTCTCATCTTTACCTAACACGAGGCCTTTTGGGAGCTCACTGGCTTCGGGTTCTATGGGAACTCCGAAGTTAAGTGAGTAGAGCGCAAGGTCATTCCCAGGATGGGTGACCCATTGGCAAGTTCTCGTCTGAGTTCCCAGAAACAAAACCTTGAGGGCGTGGTCGGGGCCCAAAGTAAACAATATCATGCTACGGTGGTGAAATGGGCCCGGAAAGTGATCCGCCCCGGACTAGAATATGACAATATGGAGCAATAACCTGGAGCACAGTTAGTTGTTAAGAGCATTCATCCTACTATAATGAGCAAACGTTCACAACCTTTTCCCATGTATCCTTCTCTCATTCTCCCTTCTAAGTTTGTACTTATTTTCTCTTTATATTAAATCTATTTTAGTGTAAATATAAATTCTATTAAGCAAAAAAAATGCATATATGAGAAATAAAATTGTAATTTTTTTCATTTAAAAAAAAAGTGTCAAAAGTGGTCATATTTTAACTTTTCGTCTTTGATCACCAAATACTTAAAGAGGGCAATGTTACATATTTTATGTATATATTTTCAACATATCCCAACGTTTTTTCTTATTTTATGAAAAACAATGGTGTTACTGAGTTAGATAATTAGTCGTTTGGAAACAGAAAATCTGCCACCACGGTAAAATGCGTGCATGTTTTCTTTATTAAAACATAAATATTCTGTTCTCTGTTAACTAAGGTAAAAGATTATGCTTGACATGTGCACCCATGCACTTTGAGGTTTTCCCCATTCCACACGCCACGGGCAATACAAATCTTATGCCAGCTGCCTGCCATGATCGATCCAAGACAACCTTCTACAAGTTCCATTCAAGTATCATTTGCTTTTTTATATAGTACTATACTTAAAACTAACACCAATAATAGTATAAATTAATAAAACTACTTCTCATAAAATTAATTTAATTAAAACGTTAATTAATTATAAAACCCCGACCCCTCTTTAACAAGAAATTTTTATCAGTGCATAAACACATACTACATATAGTATATCTTTTTTTTATTTTTTTTAAATAGATCGACAACTTTAATTAGTTAAATAATTAGTTGTTAAGGAAAAGAAAAAATAGTGGATCTCGAGCCCACACCAAGATGCATAGACATGATTATTTTCTGTCACTACAATAAAGCATCATCCGCATATAGTATATCATTTTACGTGTTATAATAAAAGTGACAAAATAGATATATATGTTCCACTCAAACTATATTAATATAAAAAAACAAAATAAAGCAAATTCACGTGTTATACATTGAGTTAAATATATAACAATGTCACAAGACCATATTCTGAGTATACCATAAAATTACTCCCTTGGCCTTTGCACGTGCGCCTCACACACACCATGCAGCTACCATACTCACATTTCACTCACTCGCTCAATATTCATCACCAACCATAACGTCTCTCTCTCTCTCTCTCTCTCTCTCTCTCTCTAAGAAAGAAATTAAAAGAAAGGCTTAGCACATTCAGCTTGCCAACTATTTCACGAGACAAACGTGCAGTGCTAGCTCCGGCAGTTTCCTTATAAGCACCAAACTCGCTACCCTTCTCTTTTGCTCCCTCTCTAATTAATTAAATTATCCTTAATTTATACCTTCCTATATAGCCCATCTTGTTAACTAGCAAGTCCTTCCAATATAATTCCCATTGCTTGATGGCTGATCAGCCAGTACAACGAGACCATGGCACGTCTGAAAGCCGAAGGAAGGGCACATCCAGTGGAGGGGGAGGCAAGCGTGCTTCCATGGAGGCGGCAATGGGAACGACAACAATAAATAGTAATGCAGTAGGTTCTGGTGGTGGTGGTGGTGCAGCTCCATGTGGGGCGTGCAAGTTTTTGAGGAGGAAGTGCATAAGCGGGTGCATATTCGCACCCCTTTTCAGTTCAGACCAAGGAGCTGCACGCTTTGCGGCGGTGCACAAGGTGTTTGGGGCGAGTAATGTCTCGAAGCTTTTGTTGCACATTCCCTTGAACCGCCGGCATGACGCTGTCGTTACCATTTCCTACGAGGCTCAAGCTAGGCTCTCCGACCCCGTTTATGGTTGCGTCTCCACCATACTTGCTTTGCAACAACAGGTTTCATTAAATCATATACTAACAATGTTCATTCATCCATTATCTCTACACGCACTAACAGAAATTTTAGCCTTGGCCTATGAAATTTTGCCTGACGAAATCCGACGAATTTCGTAGGTTCGTAGGGCAAAGATGATCAACATTTCAAGTTTACCTCCTTTTGTACATATTTTTATTGACATTAAAATATTGTATATATAGTCGATAAATTGCATTTACTCTTGCACCCGAGATTTATCATACAATGATCAAGTATCGATGCAAAACAAATATACTTTAACGTTCATGAAGATGATGTCATATCCGAAAGGCTTCAGTTAAGATGCAAATTACCAGTAAAATAGTCAAAAAATATACATATATATTCATTGAAACGTACGTATGACTAACTGATGTGATATAGTTAACTATTCTGGCATGAATATCGTGCAGGTTGCATCTTTGCAAGCCGAGCTAGCAATGGTGCAAACTCAGCTGATAAACAGCAGGTTTGCATTTGCAAGCGCTCTCCAAATCACCTCGCAGCAGCAACAGCACGAGCAGCAGCAGCAGAACATGGCACTAATGTTGCAGCCTGCTTACTCCAACAACTCCTCAGCCACCACTAACCTCATCAACATGAACAGCTTCACCTCAAATTTCGACATTGAGGCGGCCCCGTCTTCAGAGAGTCGAGTTCCACTCTTGTTCGCCAATGATCGATATTGATTTAGAATTTTCTGCTGCTTCTCCTTATTTCTCCATCTACACAACTTTCTATATCTATCCATACAATACTCTTCAAATTTTGCTTGCTATCATTTATATATATCGTTTGTTATCATTAAACTACTCTTTTTTCACCAATCGCTAATACGTGTGCATAGGTAAAATTTTGGGATAGCTACATTTCACACTCTCCCACTTATTTTAAATGATCACGGTATTTTATTTTTTCACATTGCACTATGAGATTTTGAAGTCATATGAATTTATGCTTGTACATATTTGACCATCTGAATCTCCATTAGATTGATGACATAGTAAATGTTGAACCCATTTCTGGTTTGCGACCATTCTGACCAAATTGAAATTGTCCAACTATTTTCCATTTTGGGAGAAGTCCAAGCTTCATGATAACTAGTTTAGGTTCATGTGGTGCAAATATTGCTTCCGCATCAACCCATAAACAAGTTTCATGGCTGCCAAGTCATCAATTTGACGAAGGATTAGAAGGTCAACTTGTGGGCCTGTATAGAATCGAAAGTCATATAACATGTAGCACCATAATCAATTATCCATGTATTATTTGAAACAAGTGCAAAATTCGGAGATGTCTTACCAACATTACATGTTATGGCTTCCAAAACAGAGGCTTAATCGACATTATTCGGAGGTTCCTCAACAGCACCAGCGGCTTCAGTTTGGTTGACGACTTGAACTTCATTTTCTGGGATCCTTGCTATGATCCCACCATCCTGGATAACCCACAATCTCATAGCAACGAGATTTGATTGGAAAGGCCAGGTTGTCCACAATGATCAGAGGAGGTCGATTAGGGTTCTTGGCCTTCAGGAGCATCAGTGGCACGAAAGGCGGGCCAAAAATTCTTATCACTATTGGAACTACAAACTAAGCTCTGATACCAAATTAGAATTCGTGAACGCTTCAATATTATTGCTCTCACTAGGAGAAAGTGTACATAGCTATACAACCCTAATCACAATTAATCTAGAAAACATATTAAGGAAAGAAATCCTAAATACAATCAATTACAATATTCACATTCCTATTCTAATGTATTCTAACATAACAAACCAACTCCAGATGCACAATAGTTAAAGGCCAATTGAGAAAATCAATGAATTCCAATACATCCATTATATATTACAGTAGCACAACTGAACAATTCGTGACATTCCTCCGTTTTGAACCAAAATTTGTTGCTTTGCCAGATTACTTACTATAGAGCCAAAAATTGCGACTAAGTCTGCTCTGCCGGCAACATTCCAAGACAACAAGAGCTTCCGCAAAAGCACTTTAAACCCTTAGACCTTAGCGTAACTTCACCATAGCTAAAAGTAAGCTCCTCGTCTTCTCGTATGTCTTTTGAAGCAAAAAAGCAAAGGCGTGGGAGCAAGGCACCTGAACTTCTGACCAGTGTTGTGGATAAGTTACCACCGTCACACGAATGGTTGATGAACCTTGCTACATTTCCAACTCTTGTTGCATCGATATTGTATCTTAAACACGCCTTTCTGGATGGAAGATGCTCCCTCACAACCAAAAGAGCAGGAGAAAAATTACCACCTGATGCAAACTCATCATATACTTGTTGCCGCAACCTTGCTTCTTTTGTTGTCAAGAGTTCACCTTTCTCACCAGAAAATAAAAAATATCAATATCTAAAGTGTTGGAACATATCTAGTCCTTCCTGCAGGATACACACACATAAAAATTCAAGAAATTATTTGCAGAAAAATGCTAATCAACCAAGCATGGGAAACTGAGAATGCCCTAAACAAGTATCATTATGATGCAAGTAGATATTCTAATATAGGAGTTTTGGCAAGAACTATAATATTAGGGGAGAAGATTGAGCAGCAGCAGCTGAAAGCCATTCATGAACAACAATTACCGCAATATGGTCAAAGTTTCAAACGTTGTAGCAGTCCATGGTCCCCAACACCTCAGCTGAAGGAGCAGGCAAGAAATAAAAAGGAAGGCCTCCTTAATTCACTCTTGCACTTCACTTTTTCTTATCCCCACATCCCCAAAAGTACCCTACGTCACTCCTCAATCTTGTTTTTATAAACTTTAATTTCACTCCCATCATGTTCACTCTTCCTTAAAGCTTTACCTAAATGTATGATGATCCAACTACATGATTTCAAATCTAAAGTGTCCTGGTCCCCACTCTAACGCAAGCTCCAAATATCAGACATATCATCATCTGTTCTCTCATCTACCTCTAAAGAAGTTTTGATACCGTAAACCATATATTTCAATCCAACCTACCCAAAACAATGCCATTTCAGCAATGAAACTATAGTTGTCCCTCTATAAAGAACATCTTTCTGTATCTTCAATCTTCTCTACCTCATTCACATTTCCACCCAAGAAAAGAACATCAGAACGATTACTCTTACTTCTCATGCAGATTGGAGGATTCATTCATAACGTCTCTGATTTTTATTCATTTGATGTTAGGATAATGCATAACTACATATCCAAGAAAATACTAAGCGCGCCAAATTCAAAACTTCCCAACCCAATTCAAGCACAGTCTTCCTAATCGTGAGCTTCATGTCACATAATTCAAGACATTAACATTATTTCTTCTTCTACTAGCCACAATCAATTCAAAATCAACGGAAACACCAATCATATACCATAAGCACACATACTAAACATAACACAAATTGCCATTGAGATATTCAAATCCCGCTCCACGCAGTTTAAATTAGTTTAAAGTAGAATATCGCTAGTATCAAACGAAAAAAGAAATCTAAAATGTGGGTTATAAAAATACCTGCATATTCACAGACAAACCGACCCTTTGGAATGAACTGATCAGCATACAAGCTCCACCCTTTTCTCCTATCCTTCACAATCTTCAACCTCACCTCAATCCCTCTCTGACTCACCCGATTCCCACAATCCAACCCACACCCACAACCCAATCCACACTCCGAAACGACGCCGTCAAACCCACCAAACTCCGAACACGGACACCCACCTTCCTCCTCCCCACACGTCTCGCAATCACACCCAGCCGCGCCCTCTCCCGACTCATCCACCAAACGCAACGTTTCGACGCTAATTTCACCCACCGAGTTCGGTCCCCGCGTGGAGCAACCGGAACCCCAGGATTGGCGGAGTGGAAATCGGGAAGAGGAAGGAGGGATTTGAGATGGGGTGTAGGTGACGAAGGCGTACGGGTGTCGATCGACGGAGTTATGGAACGGGATCGGATGGGGTTCCAGGGATCGGGAGGCGTCGGAGGCGCGGCGGAGAGTGATGGAGGTGGAGATTGCGCGGAGGGCGGTGCAGGTGAGAGAGACGGTGGCGAGTTCTTGTGGGGTCAGCCATGGGAGGATTAGGTCTGAGCACTGGAAGAGGAGGGAAGGGGAGTGGTTGCGTTTGGATGGCGGGGTTGGGGGCTGATTTTGCTGCATCCCGCTTTCAGTGAGCTGCAGCAAAAACACATTTGAGAAAGAGTTGTACCGAGGTACGAGATTACGAGATGATGCTCAAAAAAGTGGTTATAAAAAAATACTTTTTACGTTGAAAAAAAGTCAAAAACACAAAGTTGCAAAACTCAGTTTTGAAAAATCGATTTTTTTTTTCACATTTGTTTTACCTAAAAGTTTATTAAATATTATAATACTTTTTTTTTTCAAAATCATTTTTACAAAAAAGTTTACCACAACTGCTTATTCTCATAGCATAGCAGAAACAGTTTTTTTTTTTCAAAGTACAGCAATACCAAACCAGCCTTAAGTCCACCTCATTGTCTTATTTTCTCATCTACATTATATTCACACCCACTATAAAAAGGTAAATAATAACATCACTCTTTTTCCACCCACCATTATTCCAATTATAACCTTTTAAATATCTTTAAATTCTTTAATTTTTATTTTCTGTAATATGTATATATAAATATATATACATGTCAAATATATTTATCTCAAGAGAAAAAAAACCAACCATGGGACATATTCAACAGTAAGTCAAACAATAAACAAGAATCCATCAAGGCAGACATGGAAGGTCCATTGTCACCTTCTTTCTGGATCGACGCCACCGTTAGGGAGGCGTGCGGGTGTGGACTAGTTAGGCTTGTATAGTAGGGTGGGTTTTTAAATTTTATTTCTTTTCTTTTTTTTTTCCGCTATTTCAACTAATGATGATGTGGCAAAATGGTAGTAGCTATTGTTTAAGTTCTTAAATGTCATCTTATAAGAGGAGATATTTGTCATTGACATTTATATTTTAATAATAAGACAATAGGGTGGGCTTAACGCCACTCTTGAGAAATTTTATTAGGGATATAGCAAATTTGGGACATTTTGAATATGAGAATGACAATTTTGAACACGACACGAATTATGGTTAATCGCATATATTTAAAGAGGTTGATTCTAATCGGTTTCGTGTTGTGAATAATAATTGTCGCCTTAAGATAACAGAACAATTTGATTCAATTTTGAAGCACAATAGTGACGGGAATAAATTGATTTTTAATTCACTATCGACAAGTCCGCAACACTAAGATCTTTCACTTACAAGTGAAGAGAAATATCACTAAATTGTAGTAAGAGGCAACCCTCAAAAGTTTGAACGTGAAAACCTTTGGATATATTGTTTTAGGACAATTATTAGCATTCCTGGTAGAGTTACATGTAGTGCATGCTCATTGCTGGTTGTGTGAACCATTATTCCGATCATCAAGTCAAGTAGCCGTTTAATTCAAAAAATGTGTTAATTAGGGTGGTTAGTGCACATTGTGACTAGGCCTAGACTTGATGCTAATGGTTCTTGCATCGTATTTGCCCCGTGTCTTATGCGAGCCTGGCAAAGGTGCTTACCTCTACGGGCTTGTAATATGACACGCTTGTCTGATTGGGCTTGCAATACGACATGCCTGCCCAATCGGGCGGGAGTGCATGCTCCCACAATCTTCATTATTTCAAGATACATGAAAATGGAGTACGAAAAATGGAATTTTATTAGATTGAATGCGTATTGAATTCACAAACTTATAGCTAATGGATTACTATCGAAATTACTCGAACAAAAAACAGGCTCTCGCGTATGATACATCAAAATGTGGTTACAAGACCTATACCTAGCTCCTCGGCAAGCTCATCCCATACCGGGAGAAGTGTGAGTACAACAAGGAAAACGGCCACTGTAACAACTGTTTTCCTCCACGTTCCAACCTCGGTTACATCATTCAAGCACGGTTTCTCCGTAGTCCTCTGAACATATAAACAAAACAATGTCAATGAGATGGAGCGTTTTTTCTTTCTCGGTAGCAGATAGAGGATTGTTGAAGCATGAAACTGCAGTACATAAATTCTTATTTGCAAACCTGGCATATGAGCACGTAGAGTCCCCATGGAAGTGAGAGAGGTCCGCCAAGCTGAAAGGGAGAAAAACAAGACTAAAACTTAACAAGCCTCGGAAGTTGGAAAAACTGCTATTAATGCTTTTACCAAACATAAGCATGTTTTGTTTTAAGTTGTAAAAGTTAGCAAACTCTGCTCAATCCAAGAATTTAAAGTTTGAAGCAAACATTAGCATGTTATGTTTAGGCCGTAAAAGTTAAGACATACCACTCCCAAGCCAAGCATCGCGTATGTCGTCAAGCCAAAAGCATTTACAGCATTTTTTCCAAAAGCGCCCTGCAATAAGAGAGATACACCATAAGCCGCATTAGAATACGGGGATCATCACTGCAGACTGTCTACCTTAGGCTACTTCAAAGAGTAAAAAAAAACAACTAAAACAAATTAAATAAAGATTTCATGAAATCATCATAATAAAGAAAACGGAAAGAGAAATTCAGTGCACGGATTTGTAAATTAACCTGCACAGCTCTTCCACCATCAAGACAGCCCACTGGAAGCATATTAAAAGCTGTTGTTGTCAACCCACACCTGCAATGTTAAACTTGAGTCACGAGCATGTTACGCATTGCAATGAAATTATTAAGGTTGTCAAGAAATAGTACATTACCAGCCAGCAATCATAAGAGGATGAATTGGAACTGTCGCAGCATGCATTGATCTGCATGTTCAGGATGGTATCATGTCAACTAAGAATATATGAAGTGGAATGAACTGAAACTTCTGCTACATTAATTGAAAAAGGATTGCATAGATGTCTCGTAGCTCACATACGTAGAAGAATCAGTTAAATAGTGGTACAGAGGCAAGGGAAGGACATACGCATAACCAAGAGTGGCTCTACTGATGAGTCCAAGAAGCAAAGAACCTTGAAACAGCATGCTAGGAACCTGCACCAACTCTCCTGTAGCGTTGGGATTAGACGAGAGCAGCAGACCTACAGCAAACATTGACAATGACAGTGCAGCACCAGCAAAAGGGCCAGCTAGTGATATGTCAACTTTTGTGCTCCGATCAGGAAGAATGGATTTAAACTACAAAACCAGTGAACGATGAGAAGAAATTATCTGAATCACCTTTAAGTACAAACAAGGGAGATAAGGGGGTCTAGGCGCACAGATGACCTAGTTCGAGCAAAGGTAGTCACAAATCTAGGTCAAACTACTGCATCAAATACAACATACCTATAGCTACAACCATAAAAGTCCTAAACTATTCAAACTTACAATACGGGAGAAATGGAAAAGTCAGAAACTCATGACTCAGAAGTCGGAACAGAATAAGCCAACTGTCTTAAATAAAATGTGTAACTCGTGTCTGGGATGGGGAGTGGCAGGGGGAAGAAGTACATTACAAAGATCAAATTTACATTATTCTTCGGGAAAGACCTGCTCCTACTCAGATTGTATACTAAACAACAGAGACAAGTCTCTTAAACGGACATGTTTCGGATTGCTATACTTGGATTATTAGAGGTACCTGAGTGATTGCACCGAAGCTGCCGAGAGTAATATTAGGAATAAGGAAAGGAATGCTAAGTTTTACTTTCTTTGGGAAAGCAGCCACAGAATGCCCAACTTCCTGCATACAATTAACTCCATCATAATCATATTCAAATAAGAACAAAAGTAAAATTCAAATAGCAAATCACAATTTACAAAGTATTGACTAATTCATCAAAACTCAAAAAATCATTTGGAGAAGGTCTAAATTGACAGAAATTTTTGAAAAGAAAACGACATAATTTTCATATTTCACACAAAGCATATGCAAGTCATCAGATTTTTTCACTTAAAACTGACACAATTGAGTATTTACTTATCGTTCATTTTATTCACTAGCATGCCCTCTCTTGAAACTGACAGAATCGAGTATCTACTTATTCTTCAACGTACATCGTCAGGGTAAGTGAACTTGAACAATAAGCATGCTCATTTTATTCACAATCAAATCTAGTATTATACATAACAATGTAAAGAAACGTCACAATAAATCAGCTCTCTCTTTCATAGGCATAGGCTTAAAGATTCTACTTGGTTGACAAGAAAGAGCACAGTGTGATAGCCAATATATAGAAAGAAATATACATTTTAAATTTGAACCAAACCCAACAAACAGCAAGACATCTCACTTACATGAAACAGTAAAACACCCAAAACACCATATGCTACAGGCAAAGCCGAATCTACATATGGGAATAGCAACTCCATATCTGGTGGGTCAACGGCATTTGGATCTGTGAAGTATTTCACCACCTCTGGTGGAAGTCTATTTATCTGTTTAAAATAATGCATGAATATAAGTAGAGACTCTAAAAATGAGAAAGAAATCAATTGCTAATGGACCATTTATAGCATCACAAAACACATTAAAAAAATGCAAGTTGGCGTACCTGAGATGCAATTCCTAATTCCACAGATGATCCAATTGTTAGAAGGAATAATAAGAAAGCAATTACATATTGCCAAAGCATCGTTGGCCCTGGTTCTGAGACCTCTTTCCGCAGCAAACCAAAGCTAACACGTGGCCCACCACGTGGATCTAGGTCTTCTGCATTGGGTTCCTCCACCATAAAAAGGTTGTACTTGTTACCCGTGACCTCAGCCAGTAGACTCTGGAATTTGGCAAATACCTCTTCTCTCTTTCCCCTCAAATTCCCAAGGAAGAGAATGCCCTCACCAAGGTCTCCAAAAGGCTCCTCTTTGGTCACCCAAAAGGTAGAATAACCAAAAAGTGCTTCCTTAATCAGCTTTACATCAGCAGGATCAACCTTCTCAGGTCCAAGGAGTTCCATCAGTTTAAAAGAGTCAACTTGGAAAGTATTGTACGCGGGCCCAAGTGGTGATATAGTTGGCGGCTGAAGGACATATTGACGCATAACGCTATTAGAGACAGTGTTACATTACTATATTAGATGTATGTGAGTAGAAAACTCTGATGTCCTCTTTCTCGCACGAAGAATAACTATAGTTACATAACTACATATGCATACTGGCAGTGATAATCAGTTCCCTCACAAGTACTAGGAACAGAGAGTACGTAGGAAATTAGCCATA